CAACAGGATCAAAATTATCATTTAAAAAAATGTACTAAATACCAAAAGCAGACAACAAGTAAATAGAAACAACAACAACCACCACAACAACAACAACAACAACAACAAACCACAACAACAACAACAAACCACAAACCACAACAACAACACAACAACAACCACAACAACAACAACAACAACAATAACCACAACAACAACAATAACAACAACAACAACAACAACCACAAACCACAACAACAACAAAACATACAATGAACAACTTAGGGGTCGTTGTACAATCTCTGTTTTTTGATACCGAAGAATCAGATTGTAAATCATTGTGTATGTCCTTTGGATTGACGTTGTTATTGTTGATGTTGTGGTTGTTGTTGTTATTGTTGATGTTGTTATTGTTGATGCTGTTATTGTTGATGTTGTTGTTGTTGATGCTGTTATTGTTGATGTTGTTATTGTTGATGTTGTTGATGTTGTTGGTATTGCTTTCATTGCAATCATCATTAGCTTTCACCGAACTTACATTGTCCGTGTTATCATCACTGTTACTAATGCTTCTATCATTTTTAACTCTGTCATTGTTATTATTGTTACCATTATTATTATTATTATTATTGTTATTATCTTTACTATTAATGTTGTTGTTAGTGTTATTACCGTCATTATCTTTGTTATTATTCTTGTTATTGTTGTTATTATTCTTGTTATTATTGCTGTTGTTATTGTTGTTGTTGTTATTATTATTATTATTATTATTACGTTTGTTGGGTTTATTATTTTTTGCATCTCTGTTGCCAATTGAGGCAGCAAACCTTTTCGTGAAGCCCATGCTGAACAGGCTGGATGACGACGAAAGGCTTTGTACTCTTTTCTGGTGATGACGATGATGAAGAAGATCACCATGATGACGACGATGATGATGAAGATCACCGCAATAATGATGATGATGATGATGGGAATGGTGGTGATGATGAAGATGACGATGTTGATGATGATGATGAAGATCACCATGATGACGACGATGATGAAGATCACAGTGATAATGATGGTGATGATGAAGACCACCATGATGATGATGATGATGACGGTAATGATGATGAAGATGACGATGTTGATCATGAAGATCACCATGATGATGACGATGGTGATGATGAAGATCACCATGACGATGATGATGATGANGGTGATGATG